AGATTATGCAATCACTTACCACAAAGAGTCATGCCCTCGTAATGTGAAATCTCTAACAATATCAAAGTTTTCAAATTTTTGTGGACCATAAACTAGTATAACATAGCTTTCCCATCAGAAGAAAACTGTCTACATGCAGTTAATCCATTCAAAAACGTGGCTAGACAATTACTACTATTTCTTGCAACTTGTTGTTTGGCTGGACATTGGGTCCCACAATTTTCATTTTTTTTGTTATTACTAGTTATTACACCATTTATTCCATATCATATTTGCAGAGAAAGCCACAAATATTGAGTTTAGAGTAAGCACGTAACCTATGTCATTTAATATTTTCCGTACATATTTCTTCCACAGAAACATACTATACTTGTTTGTTTATAATTTTTTGTATTGTTATGGATCTTTTATTTTTTTCTATCAATTTGATTTTATTAAAAATTGATTTTTCTTTAATTAATTTTAAATTATTATTTTTAACTATCTTATATACAAAGTTGTTAAGTTAATGAATGAAGTTTTGACATTAAAATTAAAATTATTTAAGTTATATTTTAATTTTTTTTCATTAGTTATTTAATAAAAAATATTTTTTTCATTAATTTTTTATATTTGGATGGATGGGATAGCTCAAAATATGTTAGATGACTTAAATTTATATTATCTGTTTGTTTGATTTTTAACATAAATATTTATTTATTTTATGCATAAATAAAAACAGAGTTGTTAGTATTTATAGATCAATAATTTTTTTAAATGACAATTTTTTTTTTTTATAATTTTACTTTTTATATATTTAATTATTTAATAAAAACGAAAATTCATTTTCTTTTCAATAACTTCTTAAAAAAAAATCTCCCACTAACATATATTCTTTTTTATTTTTTCTTATATTTATTGAATTTTAAATTTTTCATAAATTATTAAAACTAATTTTCTCACACTAGTTTTTTTATTATTTATTAATTACTAACTTTTCTCCACTATTAACTTGCTAAAAATCCTAACTTTTTTTTACTAGATATCATATTTTTTTTAATTATTATATCTTTAATAAGAAAATCATATAAAAGTCTTTTAAAGATAAAACACATGTTTTTCCTTTTTATTATTATTTCTTTTAATGAAATGAAATCCTCGTTAATTATTTTTATTGATTTCCTTTACCTTTTAATAAATTATTTTTAATTATTATTTTTAAATATTTAATAATAAACTAATTTTTCTCCACTAATAGCTTACCAAAAAAATCTAAATATTTTCATAGTAACTATATCATATTTTCTTAATTATCATACTTTATTAATTGAGAAAAAGGTATATGGTATTTTTTTTTAAAACATGAAATACGTGTTTTATTCTATTATTATTATTATTATTATTATTATTATTATTATTATTATTATTATTATTATTATTATTATTATTATTATTATTATTATTATTATTATTATTATTTAGTAAAGGGAATCCCAAATTAACTATTTATATAGTTCTCATTACTTTTTCTTAACAATTTATTTTTATTACAAATTAAAAATATTCTTACTAACTTATAATTATTTTTTAATTATTAGTAGATACTAACGTTTCTCCACTAATAATTAAAAAAAATTTTCAACTAACTATATTATATATTTTAGTATAAGGGTAGTTCTACGAAGCTTTATTCTGACTTTTAAAAGAACTCTGTTAGTAAATGGTAAAATTGATCTTATTCAGTTGTAAGGTTCTATATTAAGATTTAAAAAAAATTATATTATATTTTTTAAGTTGATAGAATTTTTCCTCTTTATCATATAGTAGAGGTTGAAAAAAGATGGATTATAAAATAAATAAAAAAACTTAATTTATAAAAACATTTATGTCAAATTTATAAATTAAACAAAGAATAAGTAGCAAAATAATTAAAAGAATGAAAATTAAGAAGATGAAAATAATGAAATGCATTATAAAGAAATAAAGAACTGAAATATAAAGAGATAAGAGAAGAGAAAAATGCACCAACGATTTATACATGTTCAACTATATCATTTGGTCTATTATATCTCCAAAAATTTCTTCGTGAGAATTTTCACTATATCAAATGTGAGTTTTCACAAGTTATGTCCACGAACCTTCTTATAACCATACCTGAGATTTTATGCTAACTAATCCCCAAACAAAACAAGAGATTTTGCATTGGGATAATATCAGAACAAAACAAATTTTTTACACTAAAATGAGCTCAATAATCAAACAATTGTTTACGGCTAAACTCAATAATCAAATGAGAGATTTTAACATTCTGAGCGCACAAACAAAGCAAAGATATTACCAAGCTAATCTTAAGAGTCAAACAAAACTTTTAATTGGTTTAGCTCAAAATCCAAACAATGTCTTCCTTCGAAGATATTATACAAGAGACAAACCCTCTTGAGTAAGTTACACAAATTTCCACAACACTAGAATAACAGAAGACTCGCTGATATTTTTCATTCTTAAAGCACTAAGGCAATTTCGTGAAAAAGAAAGAAATAAAACAGAGAGAGTAAAAAGTGAAAACATAATATAAAAATATGTTTTCTGTTGTATTTTAAAATGAGGAGACTCCTTCTATTTATAGGAGAAAATTTTGACTCAAATAGTAAAAAGATCGATGGCCATTTAAATAATATAATCAATTAAGGCATGAGGTAATCGATTAGAAGCTTCAAAAATACGACAACTCCAATTCCAAAAATAAAACCCTAAAACGAATCGGTATCTTAATTTATTAGAAGTATTCTTAATCAATTAAGAAGCATTTTTGCTTGCTCTAATCAATTGGATAAGGTTTCTAATCGATTAGGCAATATAAAAATGTTTTCTACGTTATTAAGAACACTCATGGTTAATTCTACAACCACCTTGATGGTTCCTTTATATGTTTGGAAGTGTTTTATCGAAAGAAAGATGTTTAAAACTATTTTTAAGTGTGTGCGCGTTGTCTTAGTAATTTAATAATTACTCTTATATATTTACAATATATTGATCACTCAAACACAGGCAAGGCGGTTTTTCACACTTTCTCTTTTTTGCAATCTTTTAATCTTCAAGATCTCTTGCTTGACTTATCATTAATTTAACATTTCATTTGAGACTTGAATTCTTTTAACTGATGATGCTTGATCAGATTTTTGATCGACATTATCATTAAAGATTGCTTGATCAGAGATCATCAAGGACACCATTGAGCGTCGCTTGACATTTGGTGTTGTCTTTATTGAATCTAACTTGATATCTTGATCTCATAAAACATCTTGATCTTTACTTTTTCTTGGTTGATAAAGACTTCACATCATAATGTTTTCATCATAAAAACCATCTTGAGCGTTACAGATTGTTGTACTTGCAAATACATATATCTAGAAACGTGTGGGTTGGTAGACCAAAGAAATAGTGTTGTTATGAAATTTACAATTATGAATATCATGAGTGTGGAACCATGTTATGTAGGCCATTTAAGAAGTGATCAAAGCTAAAGATGACTATCATAGTTTGCTTTTGGTGATGACAATTTGGTCTTGGTTTCACTAATGACAACTTATGAAGATGCAAGCATTATGTCAAGCGCTCAAAGATGCAAAAGACAATTGGGTTGAAAGTTTTTCCTCTAAATCAAGTAGATGAACTAGGATTTTGATGATTTTTATCCTCTGATGACGACACTCATCTTGGAGATATCTCAAACCTTATGTTAAAGAAGACTCAAGCAAGTGATAATATGATTGGTTTATTCATCAAAATCTTGAAGTTTCAAGAAGGTCTTTGTGTTTAAGTGAACTTTTGTTATGGAAAAAGGGTAATATTGTAAATTCACCATGAGATATTTTTCTCTATGTTGAATAATTTCTTTTAAGGGAGTGTTTGTTTGAGTTTAAAGTTAAACCTGTTATAAGTTTGGTTTGGGAATTTAGTATTAGGTGTTTGGTTCGGTTCATGAGTTCAGCACGTGTAACAGCTCAAGTTGATTCGAGATAAGCTTGGTGTAAAATTTCAATTTGGTTCGTGGTCAGTTTGTGTAAAAGCCCAATTTGATTCTAGAAAAGTCTGGTGTAAAATCTCAATTTGATTCATGGTCATCCCGTGTAAAACCTCGATTCAGTTCAAAGGATAGACAGTTCAAATATCTACATTGGTTCGAAATATATCTATAAAATATTAGTTTAGTATGGGCACTAACCACTTCAAATTCGTGTTTGAAAGAAAAACTAACCACTTCAATCAACTGTTATTTGTTTTGTTAGAAACATGACATATAGGTCAAAAACTCTCCCTTAACGTCTAAAAACAAGATAGTTGAATTGTATGATTATGGTCTCCGTCTAGACTCTTCAAGCTTCTCCACAATCTCAATTCATTTTTGTCCATAATAAACTAGGAAGGTCTTGTTTCCGCTACTCTTGTCCTTGAAGGATTTTGGTTTATTCCTTTCTTTTTCTCAATTTCTTTTCGATCTATTTAGGTGCAATTTTGCTCACCTTTGCTTAAAAAAATTTAAGTAAAAAACGGGAAGATGAAAAATAAAACAGTGAGGGAAAGAAACAGAGAACATGAAATGCATTTTTTTAATTGACCTTTTCTGTTACCAAAAGAAATAGCCTTTATTCATTTACCTTGATAGGACACTTTAGAACTTAATCATAATAACCTGGAAATTGATAGAATTTAATAAGAACCCATTTGTAGGTTGCTGCTACTTGCATATATAATGACACCACAACAAAAACAAAGTATATAACGACAAATTAAAATTTGGAAAACAACAACATAGGCAAATCAAACATTGGAAAACAAGAAATAGCCCAAAGAAAATGATTTGATCATGACATCATAATAAAAAAAAGTAAACAGAAATTAACAAAAATTAAAAGCTAGCTGCCAGCCAATTAACTAAAAACCAATACTCCAAAAAATTTCCGTACAAAGAAAATACTATAATAAAATTACAATTAAAATACATTAAAATTCAAATTATATCATAAACTAGCCACTGCATCATAGTAGCTATCTTCTTCATCATCCTTTTTAACCTCAAACTTAAACCAATTCTTGCTCTTACATAACCTTATAAACAAGAAAAAAGCAATCCCACCTACAGTCATCAAACCACTAACCAAAAACACAATCTTAGTAGCAATAGCCATAATGAAAACAAGAAAACCAGAAGGTATCAAACACATAACCACCAACATAGGCATATTCATAGGCACCTTATAAGGTCTCTCAATCAATGGCTTCTTCCATCTCAACCAAAGAAAAGAAGAAAACTCCAAAATCATACCCAAGCTATACAAAAAATTAGCAGATGATACAATATCAGTAAAATTCATATAAGAAACCCCAATTGTTATCAATGTAGAAACCAAAATTCCCAACCAAGGAGTATTGAACCATTTTGACCTAACTCCGCAAAACTTAGGTAAAATCCCAATTTCAGCCATGCCAGAAACCTGGTAAGCACTACTACTTAACTGAGCTTCGAATAGACCGATAGCTGATAAAACAGCACCGATTTCGATCCAAATTTTCAACCATTTGCCAGCAATCATCTCAGCCGCTTGAGCATGAAACCCGTTTTCCCATTCGGATTGATCAACATTCACAGCTCCAATAACAGCGAAAAGCGGAATCAAATAAGAAACACAAGTGAATATAACAGATACAAGAAGGGCCAACGGAAAAGTTTTCGCTGGCTCTTCCACTTCACCGGCTAAAGTACTAACATTATCCCAGAAATTCAAATTCCAAAAAAGCGTATTGAAGTAGAGATTCCAATCTTTCTTAACACCCTTTTGACCCAAACTAATCCATTTATGAGGCTTAATTTGAGGGATAGCAATGAGTGACATTAAGATAAAAGGTGCTAATGAGATAACTCCTAAACCAACTGCAACGTAACCAACGATGGTTAAACCGATGTAATTCACGAACGAAAGTGAAAGAGTTGATAAGAGAATTGCGATGTTCCGAGGCCAACCAGATCCGAAAACTGGAAACAGCTTTTCCATGTAATCGATGCAGAGAATAGGAAAAGCTGCTATGTTGATGACACCGCTGAGAAACTTCCAGGTTCCCATAAGGGAGCCTGCTAATGGGCCAAAAGCTTTTTCGGCCCATACTACGAAACCACCGTTTCCGGGATAAGCGGTGGTTAATTCGGCGGTTATTAGAGCTTCTGGAATGCTCCAGATGAATGGGAAGATGAGGAAGCCGAGAAGGGCGAAGAGAGGGCCGGCGGCTTGGACGGCGGGTTCTTCGCCGTATGGGCCGCCGGCTACTTCGAAGTAGATGAGGAATATTAGAGGGATTAGGGTTAGTTTTTTGGTGTGTTTTATGGGAGTGGTTATTTGTGGTGGTGGTGGTGGTTGCGGCGGTGTAGTGGTGGCGGTGGCGGTGACGGTGGAAGGAATTGCTTCGCCCATTGATGAGTTAGTTGAATGATAGGAATTTGTTAGTGGTAGAGATATAGATTCAGTTTCACGCATGAATGAATCAAGGGATAAACAAAGTGAAGAATATCTATTTATTCTGACTAAAGAAATCTTATCATCGACTATTTTCTCTATGCCAACAATCATTGACATTTTTATATATTTATTCAGATTTTCTTTTTGACGGGATTCAGATTTTCTTTTTGACAGTGTATTAATGACAAATTAATACTTAGGCTGATTTTGACTATGATTATAATAATATGAGAAAGACTGATTTGTCCTCATATAAAATTAATAAGCTTATTATAATGATAGTTTAATATGTCATATCTTAATATCCATAAAAAATATGGCACATCATATCTAATAATAAATTTTAATTAAAATATGTTCTTTAATTAGATTTATTTTTTATTTGAAAAAATGGTGAGTTAAAAGCTTTGTTTTTCAAAGGGTCATATCTCGATGGTTAGAATTGTGAAATTGTCTTCTTCTAGTTATAACGAAGGTTTATGAATTGTGAAATTGTCTTCTTCTAGTTATAACGAAGGTTTATCTATTTTTAATGTCTTTTTAGTTATAACGACAGTCATAATTTAAACAATTTCCAATTTGCTTGTGATTCTCTCAATCCCCCTACACTATCAATTTTATTTGCTCGTGTAATCAAATTTTCAACTGCCCATGTTTAAAAAAAACTCTATTTTTTTTCACTATAATGTTATGATTTATTCTGTGTTTTGATTTGTTTTGGTCATTTAAATATTTTAGGTTTAAAGGTATATGATTAAAAGTAGTTTTCTTATTTAATCATTGATGTGTTTTATTATTTCTCCACATTTCCTTTTTAATAATGATGTCTATCTTTTGTTATAATGATGCCTTCAATGTAAAAAAAAAAATATATTTTGTTGATTCATTAATTATTCACATTTTAATGTTTTTTTTATATAAAAGTTGTTTTATCGCTTTTAGTCTTTTTAGGAATTTGTTTCACAAACGTAATATGTGATATTGAAAGAATAAAAGTTATGATGATGTAAGTTGTTAGATGCAATAAGAATTCAATAGAAAACAATTAACAATACTGGAAATGACTTGTTTATTCTCTGTGAAATGCAGTAAAATAAATAGGAAACAAAATGAACGTGCAATAGCAAGTTACAACCCACTTCTAGCTAAGAATAAGGAAACAAACTTGACTTAATCAATTCAACAAACTATCCTAAAAACTAGGTCTCTTATTTAACTAAATACTTATCATTCCCTCTTGGACTAGACTGCATTTGCATCTAGTTAACATGTGGTAGTTCACACACTCCGAGCCTCTTTCTTAGCTCCCGAAATAGCTCCAATTTGAGCGGTTTGGTGAAAATGTCGGCTATCTGCTGCCTTGTACCACAAAACTGAAGCTGCACAACTCCATCATTCACTAGTTCTCGTAAGAAATGGTAGCGCACATCAATGTGCTTGCTCCTGCCGTGCATCACCGAATTTCTTGCCAACTTAATTGTCGAGCTATTGTCACAAAAGATGACAATACTCTCACTGCCCATGTAGCCAATCTTCTTTAGCACCCTTTGCATCCATACTGCTTGACAACTACTTCCTACAGCTGCAATAAATTCAGCTTCGGTTGTGCTTAGTGTTACGATCGGTTGCTTTCGAGAAGACCAAGTCACAGCTGCTTCACTTAGCATAAAAACATAACCTGAGGTGCTTCTTCTATCTTCCACTGATCCAGCATAATCGCTGTCAGTAAAACCAATCAACTCATGACTTCCTTCCCTTCTGTAAAGAATGTAGAACGTTGATGTACCTTGCAAGTAACGTAGAATTCTCTTGGCTGCCGAATGATGAAGTTTTGTAGGCCTTGACATATACCTATTTAATAAGCTTACTGCATACATTATATCCGATCTCGTAGCGGTCAAGTACATCATGCTCCCAATCAGTTGCTTGAAGAATGAACCATCCATCTCAATACCATTTTCATCTTTGGAGATTTTAAATCCTGGAACCATTGGATTTTCAACGGAATTGCTATGCTCCATTCCAAAACGTCTCAACACTTCCATCATGTACTTCGCCTGACTGATGAATATACCACCATCAAACTGAACTACCTCAATACCAAGAAAATATTTCATCTTACCCAAGTTCGTCATATCAAATTCCTTCATCATGGACTCTTTGAATTCAACCATCATATTCTCATCATCTCCAGTATAAATTAAATCATCAACATACAAGCTAATGATTAAATGTTTACCTTATTTGTTGACTTTCGTAAACAAAGTTTGCTCGCTGTCCTCCTTCCCAAAACCTTCCTTTCTGAAATATGATTCAATCTGGATGAACCATGTTCGTGGTGCCTGCTTGAGTCCGTACAAAGCTTTGTTGAGCTTATACACCTTATGTTCCTCACTTTTTATTTCATAACCTCTTGGCTGCTCCACGTACACGTTCTTAGTTAACTTCCCGTGAAGGAAAGCTGATTTCACGTCCAGCTGAAACACACACCATCTTCTTTGTGCTGCATCAGTACAACCAAACCCCTTTCTTGCAGCTGCCCAACACTGAGAAGATTATTTTTCAACCCCGGTACATAATACACATCCCATACAAGGTGATTCACTCCTTTTACAGTCAACCGAACACTTCCCTTTCCAACAACATTCATGCTTGCATGATTCCCCAATCTTACCACCTTGTTGAACCCCTTTTCTAAATCACAGAAGAGAGATGAATCACCACACATGTGGTTGCTACATCCAGAGTCAATAAACCATATGTCATCTCGATCACCTCCAAGCGTATCGGTATACGCCATTAGAACCATCTCTTCCGATTCATCCAAATTTGCATAATTTGCTTGGCATTCGTACTGAAAGTGTCCAAGCTTATGACACTTGTAACACTCAACTGTTTCCTTATTCCTCGATTGGCTACCCCTACCTCTGTCGTATCCCCGACCTCCTCGAAAACCAGCTCTTCCTCTTCCACCATAGATCTCTTCATGAGTCACCTTCAAAGCATGTTCATCTTCTCCACGTACTTTGAACTTTTGCTCATGAACAAGCAGAGAGCTTTGCAAGGCATCCACGGATAGCTTATCTATGTCCTTGGCTTCCTCGATGGAACAAACAATGTAGTTCCACTTATCAGTGAGGGTTCTCAAAATCTTCTCAACGATCTTGACGTCACCCACATCTTCCCCATAATTCCTCATGTCGTTTGCAACCGTCATTACTCGACCAAAATAATCTGTGATCGATTCACCCTGCTTCATTGCTAAGACCTCAAAGTCTCGTTGTAGACGATTGAGCTGAGCTCTCTTCACTCGAGCATTGCCTTGACACTTCAACTTCATGGAATCCCAGAGCTGTTTAGATGTCTCCTTCTGCGTGATTGTCTTCAGAATTGACTTGTCAAGCGACTGAAACAAGTAATTCTTAGCCTTCAAATCCTTCAGCTTCATCTCGTCCATGTTCTTAATTTGCACCGTCGTCATCCCATCCCTACTTGTGGGCTCTGTGTAGCCTGATTCGACAGCAACCCAATATTCTTTAGATCAAAGGAGATTCTCCATGACCATGCTCCAATGTTCGTAGTCGCCGCCGAAATTTGGAATAGAGGTTGTTGCAAAGTTTGGTTTTGAACCCATCTCTCAGGTAACCGGCTCTAGATTCCAGATTGTTAGATGCAATAAGAATTCAATAGAAAACAACTAACAGTACTGGGAATGACTTGTTTATTCTTCGTGAAATGCAGTAAAATAAATAGGAAACAAAATGAACGTGCAGTGGCAAGTTACAACCCACTTCTAGCTAAAAATAAGGAAACAAACTTGACTTAATAAATTCAACAAACTATCCTAAAAACTAGGTCTCTTATTTGACTAAATACTTATCATAAGTAAATAAGTTCATGAAACTTATATGCTAGATATTTATTTTTGTGTTACTTTATAACACTTAGGAGACTTGCCTTTTTTAACACAGCAGGTCGAAATTATATTGTATTGGATTTAGATCTTCTCTGTTTTTATTGTTGTAGTAAAATTGTGTAGGAATGTGTCAAAAATTGATTAGTGAGGATTGGATATAGAATAACTATAAATCTGTATGTTTCTGACGCAATAAATGAATGCTAGTGTTTATCTTTTAATTTGATTAGATATGTCTTTTATTTTTGGGTGATTTCTTTGAAATAAATTATTCAATTTTTTATCTTTAGGTGAGGCAGAATCTGGTTTATAGAGATTCATTAATGTGTAGAAAAGAAACTAAATGTATTCCTCAAGGGTGATGACTCATCTAAATATTTCAATGATTTTTGCACAAAGCTAGTAGACAAGGAAATATGTACATAGAGACACACTTGTTGGTGGATCGAAAGAGGCTAGGCAGATCATTTTTTGTAAGCAACATGCGGAAGCCCCCTTTTTTCTAACCTATCTATTATTGGCCTATAGACAAAATAAAATGTTACAAAATAATGCAACATATAAAAAGACTCCTCAGATCGTACCTCTCATGATGGGTATTACCAGTGCTCAAGCTACCGAGGGGTTTAGATTGTAACGACTCAGTTAGGATGGTTATTATTTGCTTAACTACCTCGACGCATGCAAATGTAAGCGAATTTCCCAAATAGATCATGGTAGAAAATGTTATGTGCTCGTTGCCAATCGTGGATGGAGGGAGTTTGGTTGTTTATCCCAAGTTTGATATGTCTTATGAGTAAAGGTTATTTATCTACTGAGGTTAGACGCTTGAGCAAGACTTGAGGGATATTGATATACGGAAGGGACTATGTCGGCTTCGGTGGCTCTTCCCCCTTTGCATCTTACCTGTCCTTATCCAAGAATTGCCATGGAAGTTTGATCTTATATTTTTGAAGAATAATACACATACTCTTTTGGAAAAGATGAAGTTGTTCATCAACAGGAATTGGCAGATTTAGCATATTATACTCGCTGGGTG